GGTGATCTTTTGGGTTTCTACTTACATGGGTGTGGGAGGGCCTCATAGGGTCATTACTCTTTAGGAATTAATAATTCTGAAGCATTCGGTCTTTTACTATGGACTATAATCCACACTTACTTTATCAAACTGACCCAGTAGTTCCCATGACCCACAGACCACTGCAGAGGTTCATGATGGGGCTATCAAAATCGGCCAATAGGTAGGGGGACATAGTTTCAATATATGGATTACAGGTTTTCCCTTAAAAACAAACCTATGGTTCCCAAGACCGGATGCAACCATTGCTCTATGGTTCATACCAGTAATCACTCGTACATGTACACATTGCGCCATCAATGGTGATTTGTTTTTCTGATACGACTCTCATATGTACACGTCATGTGATATTTTAGGGATGAGGCTTTGACCTTCGCCTCTAGACGCCAACCATCGCACACAAGGGTCACATAGTCCATTGACTCCCTCCCTTTGGTAACTCCAACATCATCAAGGGATAACCCATAAACCATCATCGATTTTATTATATACACAGGGATTTAGGGGTTTTCTAACTCTACTGGCTTAGCTCATCAAGCTAAGTCCGAGTATTGGCAATTGTCTATCATGGTTCATAAAGGACCACAATCCTACTAAATTTATATTTCACTATATAAAATTTGATTACAAGCTCTCATAAACCTTTAATGGCCACAGAAACCCAACATTCTTCCACTTGGCCTTTGAAGGACTTATAATCTTTCAACCTCACTCTCTCGGCCCCATCTCTCTTACATGTTTTCCAAAAATATTTGTTGTTGGCCCCTTTGTAAGTGTGTTGCAGTCATTACCTATGTAAGTATGTAACTGATCTCGATTTTTTTCCACTTCTTTTATGCGCCTGGAATTCTTATGGAATCGTAGCTCTTTGGACACATAAATTAAAGTTGTAATGTTGTAGAAGATTCTCACACGCTCGCACCATATGAACTCAAACTCAAGCAATCCCTTTTAAGTATCTTAGAACTCTATTAACTGCCTTCCAATGCTCAATCTCATTGTTACATTGGAATCAACTAATCATACTCATGGCATAGGACAAGTCAGACTTTGTTCCAGTCATGGCATACATAAAAGATCCTACTATGCTTCTATAAGATACTATTTCCATGACTTTCTTTTCTTTGTCCGTACTAGGGTACATTTGATTGTTTGGCTTTGTCTTCTTATCTATCGGGGTTGCCATGGGCTTACACTTATCCATTTCAAACTTTTCCACTATTCTTTTGAAGTAAGTGGCATGGGAAAGTTGAATGGTTCTTTCTTTTCTATTTCTTATTATTTTTATGCTCAACACATATGAGATTTCCCCTAGATCCTTTATATCAAAATGTTATGCAAGGAATTTCTTTGTTTCTAACATAAGAGCTATAGAGCTACTAACAATTTGCACATCACTCGCATATAAAGATATGAACACTATATCACTCTCGTTGACATTTTTATAATTAGATGAGAATCCTGCCAAAGAATAAGTTTTTTGAAACATGATGTACCACTATCGAGACGCTTATTTTAAGCCATAAACGGATTTGCTAAGTCTGCCTATTAGGTTTCCCTATCTTTTTTCTTCAAATCCCTCGGGTTGTTTCATATAAATCTCCTGTTCTAAATCCTCATTTAAAAAAGCTGACTTTATATCTATTTGATGGACCTCAAAGTCAAAACGGGCTGATATGACTATTTGGATTCTAATAGATGGAAACTTTCCAATTGGAGATAATGTTTCCTCATAATCTACCCATTCTTTTTGGGTGAATCCCTTGGCTACTAGCCTAGCTTTGTATTTTTCTAATTTTCCTTCAGAATTCAGTTTTTTCTTAAGGATCCATTTACATCCTATTGCCTTACGGTCTCGAGGTAGAGGTACTAGTTCCCAAATATGGTTTTGGTTAATTGAAGAGTATACATTTTTCATGGCTTCTCCCCAATGGTCATTTTCAAAACAGGTTATGGCTTCTTAGTAAGTTGAATGTTCATGATCTGGCTCATCCCTAACCCTTTTCATAGTGTTCTCGCAAATAGATAAAGTTTTCAAGGTACATACATAGTCTTGAGGCTCGATCGCTTCTTCTAGGTTGGTGTTCAGGTTCAGGTTCTTGATTCTCAATCATGTCACTAGCCTCCTCAAAGAGATCGGCTTGGTTGTGACTAACTCTTGTTTCAAGGAACTTATCCTCAAAGAAATGGTCTTCGTGGCTCTCAATAACCGCCCCATTATGAAGGTTGTAGAATCGATACCCCTTACCATGGTCAAGGTAGCTTATGAATATGGTATTAATGGTTTTGGGATCTAATTTTGTCCTATTTTGATATGGGATAAGAACATAGGTCGGGAAGCCCCATACTCTTACGGATTCGAGATACGGAGTACCCAGTGAATATCTTGTGAGGAGCAAGAGTAGCAGCTTTGGTGGAAGTCCTGTTCAGGATGTAACTTACCATCAATACTGCTTCTCCCCAAAACTCTAGGGAGCGCTCTGCGTGCCCCATCATGCTTCTCACCATTTCTACCAAGGTCCTATTTCGTCTCTCGGTAACTTCATTTTGTTCTAGAATATAAGGCATGGTGCATGGATGGATAATTTTATGCTCCACACACAGGGACCTAAAGAGTTCGTTGAGTACACGCCACCCCTATCGGTCTTTAGGACTTTGATTTTTAAGTTGGTTTGTTTTTCTAGATCGGCTTTGTATTCCTTGAATTTATATAAAGCTTCATATTTTACATTTATCAAGTATATGTGGCTATATCGGGAGTGGTCTTCGATAAAAGTGATAAAATCAACCTTTGGTATCTACGTTCATAGGACCACATATGTTACTATGAATGATTTCTAACAAGTTAGAAGCTTTTTGTGCCCGGCAGAAATTTTCCTAGTCAATATTCCTTGCACACATGATTCATATACTTTTGATAGATCTCCTTTATAATTTTGAAGGATTTCATCTTTCAATTCTATTAAAACATATCTTCCCTAGTCGCATTTACTATAGAAAAACATCCACATCATTCGAATATGAGACATGAGCAATTTCTTCCTTTATTTCAATTGTGTAAAGGCCATTCACAACTTGATCGGATATAATGATATCATTGCGGTTTTTCATGACAACTTTGTCACTGGAGAAGATGGTGATAAAACCGGCCTTAGAAATTTTGGGAATCGAAATCGAAGATGGTGATAAAACCAGCTTTAAAAATTTTAGGAACCGAAACCAAACACTTCTTCATGTCAAGAGCATAGAGTACTTGTTTTAGGATCACAACATTTCCATTCTTAATTTCAAGTGCATAATCGTCAACCTCGATCTTTTGATTGTCTCCTATAAATATGTGTTTCTCACCCGATGTGTTGCTCACCTGACCCAAAAGGAGTAAAAGTATGGAAGTCATCCTTGGCATTTGCCACGGGAGACGTAGCTCCATAGTCGAGATATCAAAAATTCTCCCTTGGGACCAGCCAGCAATGTTTCAAAGACCACACATGCAATTTCCTTGTTGGCCTCAGGATTTTTATTAAACATCGTCTTTCACATATAGCAAATCATAGTCTCTTTCTTTTTCTTATTGTCTCTCTCTTTATTTTTTTCTTCTCCTCTCTTCTTATTCTTATTCTTATTCTTACCCTTCTCCTTCCCCTTCCCCTTCCCCTTCCCCTTCCCCTTCCCCTTATTAGGCTTAAAAAAGGGTTGATATTTTATCATATATACTGCATAAGTTGTTGTTGTACTAGAGTTATTTGTTAGGATGGTTTCCTTAGAAGTTTGTTAGTTGTAGAAGGGTAAAGAGAAGGGTTGTACGCAGGCTATAAACTGCTTAACGGGAAATCTCTTATTTTCTTTCAATCTCTTATTTGCTTGTTGTTATAAGAGGGTGCCCTCCAGAAAGAGGGAATTTAACTGGTTTTATTGGTTATCTTCTACAAAAACTGCTTGATTTTTATCAGATAGAGAAGAAGAGAGTATGTCAAGAAGTTACTCCCGAAAGAGGGAAGCTTGATTCTTATCAGATAGAGAAGAGAGTATGTCAGGTTTTATTGGTTATCTTCTTCAAAAACTGCTTGATTCTTATCAGATAGAGATAAAAGTATATCAGGAAGTTACTCCCGAAAGAGGGAAGCTTGATTCTTATCAGATAGAGAAGAAAGTATGTCAAGAAGTTAGGGGTTGCAGCAAGAGAGAAAGGAGAGAGAAAGGAAGAGAAGGATGGTGAGGGATGAAGGAGCAGAGGCAGCTAGAGAGGGCAAAAAAGTAGACAACAATTCAGCTTACGAGTCACTACAGGGCTCTTCCATTCAATGACTGCCGAGATTTTATATTTAATAAAATAGACGGCCCAAAAGTCCACTCTCAACATTGTAGATGTATAATACACAAGATCATTCCCCTTTTAATCTAATTTGTGAGTTGTTATTTGAATGGTTACTTTTTGGGGGCAGAGGCCCTTGGTCAATTTTTATATTGAGGGAAATTGTACGAGGGGGTATTTGCTAGGGAAGGCAATGGACCCGTACTCGGGACCCGCTGGGTATATTCGATACAGGTCCGGGTATGGGTCTAAATTGGATCCAGAGGGTTGGGTCCGGATCCAAAATTTGGACTCGAGCACTACTCAGGTCTTAGTCTGGGTCCGGTTGAACCCGACCTGTACCTGTAAACTGTTGGAGACAAAATACTTTAAACCCTATTCGTTTGGGTGTGTTAAGGATCGTATACAATAAGAACTCGAAGTATCTATAGCCATTAAATAACAAACCAGACGGCTTGAAATGGCAGGTGATTGTGAGTTGCAAATAATATGGATATATGATGGTAAAAAAAAAAGTAAAAAAAAAAAATTGCTAATAAGACGGTGCAAGCAAGGCAAAGAGGTCTTTTTGTGTATAAAACTATTAGTAATAACGTGTTCATGTCTGTTCACTGTAAAATAGTTCCACATGATTAAAGAGATGAACAAGAAACGGAAGGGAAGTAATAAATAACAACCCGATTTTATTTAACAATTTATAAATTACCCTTACTTCAATACCTAACAAATATACTTTTCAGCTTAAGCAACCGTTCCATAAAACCCAAGAGACTCGCACTATCTGCATTTCAATACGAACAATGCACAACCATGACTTCCAACTTCCATTGACAGTCTCTCATTAATAATCCCCAGTTCTCTTCCACTCCAAACTTCAAAGGTTGTGCACAAATAATTCGTGAAGTAAGCTGGAGATAACACGCTTGCTAAATCTTTTATGTTTGCAGATATTATGGTGGATTCGGGGTTTAAGTTGAAGAAGGATAAATATATTTCCCCTGCGAACGATGAAAGAGACCGATAAGAAAAGTGAGAAATACTGAAGAATATAACCACAACACATGTGGAGTAACTGTTACTAATAGTATATGTTGATAAGTGAATGGCCAATTGTTAGCTAGGGAAATCAACATACATAACAAACCCAGAGCATGCTGAAATCTTGTTAAATAGAAATGCTTTTAGATGGATTAAACTAGCGACCATGATGAATACCTTTCCTTCCGGTTGCAATCCATGATCTGATGCCTTTAGTTGTCATCATACCTATTGGTAGGCAAAATATGAATGGTTGCTTAACTTTCATCTCATGAGATGTTTTAATAAATAGCAAATAATTTTACCAGAAGTTTACCTTTTTCAGCGTTAACTGTCGCACAAAGTCCAGCATAACTATTCACAAGGTTGCCATCATGGGTTAATTCCCACATCTGCTAGAGCTAACAATGTTAGGGTCCTTTCTAAGGAAATGATAAATATCTAGCAATATTTTCAAGTAACCTGCTGAAGCGTATTGAAAATGAAAACTTGAAGTAGAAACAGGATCGTGAATATCAACAGAATTTTTCAAAAATTAGTACATGATTAATGTCTCATAAAATTTGTGCTGCTCAATTATTATCCTCTGCTCTGCCATTTAGCCTAGAGAATAGGGTAAGAATTGAGGACTTATTTTTTGGAGATCCTCTTCAACTAGACCCTGAGTCGAGTCTTCCGACTTAATATCTTAGCATCTCTATAATATGACAGGAAACTTTGGTGCAGGACTAGATATTGCTCACCTGTTTTGTATCCCATTTACAAGGGAAAGTTGTGTTCTCATTTGAATTCCACACAGTGGGTTTTCTCTTGATGGACAAATCCAAACAGTGATCCTTTGTTTTGGATGGTAGCAAATGAAACTTCCCTTGATAATGCTTCTTGTAATCGTTCTCTTCATCCCTATGAAGTCGAGGCCAACTAATGGCATCAGTTGCCACATAGATGCAAGTATGTGAAAAATTGAAGATACACTGAAGATTTTGATAATCAAACTTAGATTTATTTTTCTATATAGTTAGCAGATTACGAATTCATCAGAAATGTTACTTACAATGATGGTAATAATTCCCTTTTATACATACAGAAACCTGGGTCTTTATTTCCACTTGAGTGACCTTTCCAGCAAACTTGATCCATGTCTCCATTATGAGTTTTAATTAGCCAGCTTCCTGCTTTCTGATCCTTGCAGCTGGTAAGACCTAATGTTCCTTTATTGGATCCATCCATATAACCCGGGGTCAAAGAGCTTCGGAGTCGATGATGGCTACTAGGCATCACTGTCCTGATTGAACTAACCAATGGGAACTGGAAATAAAAAGATAAGCGAAAAAGTAAAAAATCAAAGCAACTGATAGAGGTAATGTTGGATGAAGAGATATTTTATTGTACTAATGAATGGGAACTGGAAACAGAAAGGTAAGACAAAAAGTAAAAAATCAAACTAACTGATAGAGGTAACATTGGATGAAGAGATATTTGATTGAACTTGACCGTGAGAGGAAACAACAATAGCCAAAGTACCTCCATATTGTTTTTGCTGAAAGAATTAATTTCCAATAAGATGGGATGTGTGATGATAAAGAAGGTAGTATAGTCAATCTGCCTCAAATCGCCTCCAAACATTAGGGGAGATCTGGCCATGGACCATAATGTCATCTGCAGAAGGTAAGAACAAATACTTAAGCTTATTTCTACTTTGTGAATAGAGTGACCCACAATGAATATACACACCTGAGTTCTCTGTTCATTAAATGTTAGTCTACAGTTTCTATGTGGACCTTCATTTACACCTAATTGCAGGAGAAATATGGACGTTAGCTCATTATATAGATATGAATATTCAGGAAAGTAAGAACTCTTCATAAAAGCCTTTTAAGTTTTGAATAGTACGAGTAGAATTGGCAAAGATTATCATAGACTTCTATAACCATGCGAAAAGTAAATCGTATAAGTTCTCAAGATGCTTACCAGCATCAGTTAGTACTCCTAGTGGTAGCATATCCATGTCCGGCCATGATTTCCCCAGTAACCCCTCTGCTCCAATCAAGCGAGATGCAGCAAAGTCCCTGAACAAGAAAAAAGGGAAAAAAAAATCACTTAACTATAGATAAATTATAACAAATTGGAAAGGAAACAGCAAAAAGAATCTAGTATCTCAAGTAAGAGCATTTTCTACATTTCGATATACAAATGCAAAATGCATCATACCTTGACACATCAAAATGTGCTTCAACATCCGCCCATGTATCCCAATCATCCCCAGTTATCCTATACATATTTACTAGAGTACTGATTTCTGCAGCCATTGCTGGTGTTGCTCGGCTACCAGGAGAGAGAGAGTACAAGATGGGGCGGCTTAGCTCTTTCAATATCTACAAAAATCAGTCAACTGTGCTGAGGGCCACATTCAAAAATTTTATCATCTCTTTCTCCAAATGAACAAAATTTTATAGTTATGTTTTGGCCTTCAATGAATATAGTTTCATAGCAAACCACTCAAATATTCACTTTTCAGGACTTCACATAGACCAAATCTACTGAATTGCGAAATTTAAGTTTCATGACCAAATGTACTGAATTGCGAAATTTAAGTTTCATTCTGTAATAAAGCGAGATCAGACAGTCTCGAAGGAACAAAAACTTGAAAGTGATACTCAGCAACTTAAGATTGAAAGTGATATTCAGCAACTTAAGATTGGACTAAATGTTCCATTATTATGGAATCAGGTTTGGACTTCGCTGGTTTGTACCATAACCAATTATACAAAAGAGAAGAAGGAAAAAAAGAAAAAAAGAAAACAAGATCTATTGCTATATCGTACCTCTGAAACAACACTTATCTCACTTATGTCCAAATCATCACCAAAGATGCAGTCATGCTTCACTGTTAATGAAGAATAAAATAATCAGAAAAAAACAGAGACAAGGAACAAAATTGGCATTCATTGAAACTAAACCAATGCACAGTTGCTGATTCGGCACATTAAGTTGATTACATTGGCACAGCAAATCAATACATCTCAACTCACCAAAGTCCACACCCCATTCAGCATACTGTTGATATAGTGACCTTAGGAATGCTTTACCAGCACCCAGCTCTGTATCAACACTCATGAAACCTGACGGCATCCACGCACATGCCCTTTCTCTAAGCCCAATATCTCTAGCTCTCCATATGCGCCCTGATTCCTCATAGAAACTTTCCTAAGAATAACACATACAAACTAAGTTAAAGAAGAGATAAAGATCAATAGAGAGAGAGAAGAGAGAGAAGAGAGAGAAGAGAGAGAGACCTTGTAGGGATCCAATATTGGGGTGTTGGCATTGACGGCCTGTGTGCTTATTCCTCTCATGACATGAATTCCAAATTTTAAACCCATACTGTGCACTTTGGAGGCAACTTCTTTGAAGCCTTTTCCACCCTTGGATGAAGGCCATCTCTTTGGATCAGGAGTTGGCCTCCCCCACTCATCTATAACATCGAATCCTAATGCATTTGAACTTGATCCATTTTCCAATCTCCTATACCACAGGTAATCTACCACTACATACTAAAACCCAAAACAAATACCAAAAATCAACAAAAGAGAAGCAAAATAAAAAATAGAAAACCCTGTTCGAAGTTTGAGAGAGAGAGAAAGAGAGAGATGAAATTCTTGTGTAAATGGCAGACAGATATTAAAAAAATCCAACTGCTGTTCCATAGCTTATTATGAAGATTCAATGAAGCAAAGTGAGAATAAAGAATATAGGAGGAATTTGGTTTGAACCCAATTAATATCCTGACCTCATATCCATAATTAAGCAGCTTTTCTGATGCAATCCTTGCATTTTCAAGGAATTCTTCCTCGGATATAATCCATGAATATGCATCATAAGAATTCCATCCTCTTGGTGGGGAAAGAGCACGATTATGATTCTCTAATGCCGCATCATGCATCGACCTGAAAATGTTTCATTCCAATCACTTTTACTCATTCCAAATCACTCCTAACACTAAGCATTAAAACACTTAACAGAGCAAATCAATGGGTACCCTTTTGTTGAGAAACTTCCTTACATGAATAAACCGAGGAAAATAAGAACACTCCAGAAAGAAAGTGCCATGACTGCTCAAAGAACTCAGAGACAGGACGCTACTATGAAAAATGACTGTTACAAGAAGAAACAGAGAAGGGAGAGAGAGAGGGAGAGGACCCAGAACAGAGAATGCAATGTGCAATACAATGCCTGCTCAAAAGAAGAGAGAGAGAGAGAGAGAGAGAGAAGAGCTAGTGGAACATGTTTTTTGGGTAGGCTGGTGTGAGAGAGAGGGTGAGTGCTCGTGGAGGTTGGTTACAGTCTTAAATATGAACCATGAGAGAGAAAATCATTTTGATATATGCACAAGTGAAGAGATAGATTCATAATCATCATTTTGGTGCTATCCATAATCACCCACGTAAATAAATTCTGAAAAGATAGATTCGTAATCATCATAATCACCCATATAAAGAAGTTCATCATATATACAGAAATTACATTCTGAAGAGAGAGCTTCATAATCACCCATATAAAGAAATTTATCATATATAAAAAAATTATATAGATCTCGTGCTATCCATAATCACCCATATAAACAAATCCATCACATATAAAAAAATTCCATATATCAGGTATTCAAAAACACCCGAAAATTCAACCACATAAAGAAATCCCATAAGACAGTCTTGGTGCCATCCAATTTTAAAATTTGATCCATTATTTAAAAATTAGATTTTGACAAAATTTTATCCAATTAATTGGGACCAGCTGTTTTTTATCCGAATTTTGATCCACTATTTTAGAATTCTGTGTTTGACAAAATTTTACTTGATCCACTATTTTAGAGTTCACGTTTTGATAAAATTTTACATTGATTATTTGCTTAACACAACCCAGTCTTTCAGGGATCGGGTCCTTTTTACTCGGCCATGTTTGGGGTGAAAGAAAAATTTAAAGCCATCACCCTTATCATCTTGAGAGAGAAAATGTGTTATTTTTAATGATAAAACTTTTATCCGGAATTTGAGGGATGAAGTCTAAATGCGAAACGATAAATCGACTGGACCACCAATCCTGAAATCACGAATATTCACATGAAAAAATCTTTTTTCGTAACAAGAATAATAAATTCATCATAAGCAATCAAAGCTAAAATCACGGGAACAAGAGAACAGACAGAGTAATAAATTAAACAAACCCTTATAAAATTGGACAGCACCATGTGCTTATCAGATTTTCAGATAATCCAGGCCGTCAAATATTCCACGTATAATTAGAATATCAATAATAGCACAATATCGGAAATCGACGGCTGAGAGAAAAAGTGGCGTATGTTTCTTAAAAATTGAGGCTCACCGAGAGAGGAGTATTGTGAACCGTAGATTTATCTTAGAACATGTTAAACCGTCTCATAGTATCTCTGAGCGTTTACTATAAGAGTAAGTTCAAAACTGTAATGATTTGCAAAGTAACATAAACCATGTTTTGAGAGAGGTCGTTGATTAAGTCAATAATCTACAACCATGGGCGGTTAATATTGATGAACCAATTTGTAACCACGGGAATGATTTCAAGCAACGGTTGTATAGTAGTACAATGCAACCATCTTAAAAAAAGTATGTTAGAGACATTTGTTTGACACGAATTTTTAAATTTACATTCTTTTTATTTTGAAGAACAATCACACTTTTTTTTTTTCTTTTTTTAAAAAATGCACTAGAAAGGTTTCATTCTAACCCAATTAATATAAGTCATCCATTTTATTGAGATGGTTAGATATATGCTTCAGGAGAAATTTTTTTTTTTTTCCAAAATTTTTATATAGTGTTATCATCATTAGATTAATAATGCTAAAAAAAAAAAATGATTTTGAATTTGTTAAGGCCTAGATCTTGAAATTTACCAAATGGATGGTTGAGATTCATTGAAGGATGGGTACTAATTTTGACCATATTTAGGGTACAAATTGATTGTTTTTTTTCGTAGGATTGATTATAAGGATGAGGAGAATGTTGTTTGCAAAATTTGCAGCCATACAAATGCCAAAAATATAGTTTTCTAGATGTGTGGTTGCATTATACTACTATACCACTGTTGTATTAGATCATTTCCCTTGTAACCACGTGCATTCAGCTATAGTATCTTCTTTATTAGATTTTGATGTAGAAATATATATATGATTCTTTTTTCTTTGTTTTTTATTTTTTCTTTCTTTTTATTCTTTTATTTTTTTATTTTTTTATTTTTTATGAAATTTCATTCAGAATGAAAAGGGTACAAGTCAAAGATATATGGGTGTGCTTTCGGGTTTTTTTTTTTTGGGAGTTAGTAGGGAGAGGACCCCTTGGTAGGAATTGAACTTAGGACGTAGCCTTGCAATTCGTCAAGCGCCAACCAATTAAACCCGGTTTTTTTTCTATTGAACTTAGGACGTAGCCTTGCAATTTGTCAAGCGCTAACCAATTAAGACCGGTTTTTTTCTTCAAAAGTGGTAAGTTAGTGACGATTTCGTTTTTTTTTTTCTTAAAAAGTGGTAAGTTAGTGAGGATTTGGGCCCTTACTGAGAATGGAGTCAGAGACCTCAAAATAAATTTAGGCCCCTACCATTTGCATTTGGTGAGAATGGAGTCAGAGACCTCAAAATGAAACTCGACAATACTACCGCCAAAACTCTATGTCATTAATATGGATGAATCAACCAGCTACTAATTGGATTGTCACTCCCCAAGAATTTATAATACTGATATGCCTGAGATGTGACAGTCAAAACATATATATATCTCTTTTTAGGACAAATTTACAATGGCGAATTCTTAGAAAGTAACAAAAGAAAGTTTAAGCACAACTACAATATCTTCCAGAGTTGATCCTGATGAGCACTCAAAATGAAACCGCAATTATCCTGAAAAAAAATTTTTACCATAATTTGATGAGTTTGGCTACTCAGTAAGTGATCATCATAATCCTAAAAATAATCAAGGTTGAAAGATATCAATATTTTCAAAAAGGAGATCTATTAACAGAAATGCATTAACAGTTTCACTTTCAAAGATGCATAATTAAATATAATCCGAATAATTGAAATGCATATAACATTTTAACGGCAGTGCATAATTAAAAGGATTTCACAAACTACCTTATTGGCGTCCCAAGTAGATCACCTTTATACCCCATCAGCGTCTTGATGGGTCCACTTAATCCCTATCGACGTCCCAGATAGGTCCACTTAATCCCTGCAGGTCCACTTATACCTCATCGACGTACCGGATGAGTCCACTTAATCCCTACCGACGTACCGAATAGGTCCACTTATACCTCACTGGCGAACCGGATGAGTCCACTTTCATACTTAAAGTATTTCTAAATCTCTTTAAACATTCGAAAGCGGCAATATCATGTACTCAACATATCACTGAAATTATTAATATGAATTTCACTGAAACCATTAATAGCAGTCACTTTCAATAACATTTCAAAAATAGTCAATCAAATATTTTGAGCTCAAATTTAGAAAGGTAGCCGTTCGTAAAAACATTCAAGCATAATTGCCAATCTAATATGTATAGAAAAACTCATATAGAAATTCAAGAATACGGAATTATCACAATTTATGGGATGTCAATTCACAAATAAACATTTCACAGACAATGCTATAATCAATTGCAAAAATATCAGTTTTCAAATAATAAGGCACTCATTTGCACATGAAATTTACAATGTCGAAATATTCAAAAACAGTATAAAGAAATCTCACAATTTTACCAAAAGCAGAAATATCACATTTATTTCTAATTATTTACAGTATTTAAAATATTTTACAATAAATAAAATATCACAATTTTTACTAAAAAGATTACTCTTCGAGATAATGAGATCGCTTACTTTTGATGACTATGGATCTTCAAAGATAGTGTGCTCCATGGGACACCACAGGGTAATCCTACTAAGCTCATTATGAGGCCGTTCCTCCCATTCTCTCTCTCTCTCTCTTATTCTTATTTAGACTCTCCTTTATGCTGAACTTGTGGGTTAATTGAATGCATAGATGGGAGAAAGAGATATAGAGAGAGATAAAGAGAGAGGTCGTGTAGGGAAGGAGAGAGAAAAAAAGAGAAACGTACGTAAAGAGGGAAAAATAGAGAGAGAGAGAAGTAAAAAAAAAAGGCATTCGTGACACGTCCATTAAGAAGTGTAAATGGAATGTGAATTTGGTTGTTGAGTTGCCTGGCCAAAACCAACTTTGCATGTAAAACCTTGAAGTAATTGGTGGTGGACTTAAGGTCCACCCAAATACAATTGCACAATCCAAAACTTTTGTTATTATTGAAACATATTTATAAAAAAGCTAATGCTCCTATTATTTGGTATACTCAAAAAAAATGTGAAGTTACTGGCCAATGAATATTGGGTATAATATTAATTATTATGAGAAAATACTAATTATTTTCGACATAATGAACTATCACTTCAAAATTATTTATTTCCTGTAAGCATTTTGTTTATTTATTTTATTTTATTTATTTATTTATTTAATATTTATTTCTATTAACACCATTAATATTATTATTAATATTATTATAATTATTATTTTGTTCCAAGAGTTTTAGGTCGTCACATGGATCGACCCAATTTACTTTAGATATGGGCAAAACACTCCGGGCGTGTTTTCTTCGTGGCACTCTATTTGTTACATGGGAGGGGAAGCTGCAATTTGGAACCCCGGCTTCTCTAGTAAAAACATCAATTAATGTTGTGTTTTAGGAGCCCGCCCCCTTCTATGGTAACCCATGGAAGGTGCTGCTTCCAAACTTGATTGAAGAGGGGGCTTTGACAGTCCCTTCTTTATCAAAACAAAGTGCCCCTTTAGATTGATGGTTGAGTGGATTCCAACCCCCTAGATCCAGTTGCTGGCTTATTAGATTGGATCCGGTCTTGGTCTGATTCAATACAATTGGGACCAAAATGCATGTCACTCGACTCACATTGAGCGATGCATTTTGAGTGCACGGTGGATTTAATTTTTTCCTCTACAAATCCATTATTATTTGAAGGATTATTGTTTTAGAAGTGATTTGCAACTCCTTTTTTCTTGCTCCTAAAAATAGTTTTTAATCGGGACATGTAATAAGGACGCGGTTAGCATGTGGCCAAGCCCGCACAAGATGGATCTGCTTGCACATTTTGGCTTTCACATTTCTTCGGCCAAGAATCCGGCATTATACCTCTTGAAAACTTAGTGTAGAAATGCGGTCCAACCCACTTGAGACAATTAATCATATAATTATAATGTTTCCATGGAATGTTTATCCATTTATCACAGGAAAAACTTATAGTACCCTAAATGCTTGAATGTTATACAAGCACCCTTCCAATGATTCATATTAGATAGAAGAAAAAGAATAGTTAGAATTATATGTAATATTTTAATTTAATTATCCTAATACAAAATGTATCAAATATCTTCATTTTTCAAAAAGGTACGCCTAAATAAAATAAATAAAAATATTTTATTAAAGATAAATTAAT